ACAGGATGGAAGCTGCGTGTTGTACAGATTTGCGGACCTCTGATGAGCTCGTCTGTTTTCGACAAATTGCCTGGGCTAGAGAACGCACGAATTCTGCAACTCGTATCTGCCGGCTTCCCTGCCTAATTTGCGATCTGTCTGACAGCCTGATCCATAGTCTGTCCAACAGTCTGATCTGCGGTCTGTCCGACAGTCTTATCTACTATCCGTCCGCCAGTCTGACCTGCGGTCTGTCCGACAGTCTTATCTACTATCCGTCTGCCAGTCTGACCTGCGGTCTGTCCGACAGTCTTATCTACTATCCGTCTGCCAGTCTGATCTGCGGTCTGCCGACAGTCGCGCCGTGCTGGAGACGTACAAGTCGGAGGAGTATGACCTGCTCGGACCGCCCAGGCCGGCGCTGGTGGTGTGCGTGGCTCTTGTCTACACGGTGCTCTACATGTGTCTGTTCAAGGGCATTAAGTCATCAGGTAAACCTGATGGCACGCAGCCAGCGCCAGACAGGGGCTGTTCCCGATGGCAGCGATTCTTGTCGGAATATCAGATGTCATTGCATGGGCCGTACTTTGATTAGAGCATGACTGTTGAGCATGCCGTGGACAAGCGACAAATACTTATGTGCGGGAAGGTACCAACTAGTCATATGATAACATCAGGGTGCTGAAAAAGTGTACTGATAACCATTTCCACGAGCCTAATGATTTGGCATGGAAAAAATTGCCTCTTCAGAACGTAAGTCATTCGATTTATGACGTTCTGGCCACTACCAATCACTGCGCGCCGACGTGGGTTAGACGCATGACATCCGCCAACCAAGTTCATATGGTAGCCCCGTCGGCGGGCACGGGTTACGCTGGACGAGCGCGGCGGCTCATCATGCTTTGGACGAACGGCTGGACGAGCGCGGCGGTTCATCATGCTTTGGACGAACGGCTGGACGAGCGCGGCGGTTCATCATGCTCTGTACGGACGGCAGGACGCGTGGTCTGGATCACGGCCCTCATGCCGTACGTCATCATCATCATCCTGCTGCTGCGAGGCGTGGTGCTACCGGGTGCCGCAGAGGGCGTCAAGTTCTACCTACAGCCCGACCTCAGCCAGCTGTCCAACATGCAGGTGAGAGCGCCGTCACGCTCGCAGCTGTCTTTACCCTCATCACCGTGATCTCTCCGGTTATTGGCAGCCAGTCCTGCCTTAAAACCTGGGTCGTGGGAAGGCTAGCTACGAACCTCATCGCGCCAGCAGACGTGAGCGTCTATCAGTAAAAGCAGTCGTGTTCTTGCGCCTCGCAACGCCATCAGTGTTGAATCTCGACTGCGACGCTTCTTAAGGCCGGACGGCTGCTGAGACATGCATTCCATGTGTAACCCACTAGTTCGGTGATACCCTGGCGAGCAACCGTGCATTTCGGCACAGTGAGAGCCCAATGCTACATCGCTGACCCTTCGAGGACTGGCCGCATCAGAGCCGAGATATATTCTTCATCGGTGGCGCACAGTCCTGTGCTGTTGACTCATCGCGGGCAGTTGAGTCCGGCCAGTGCAGGGAGCTCCTTGCAAAAACGATTACGTCGCACAACATCTGATGCATGCATTGGCGCTACGTGGCGCTCGGCGGGTTCTGTGCATCAGCGCTGTCGGGTCATGGGGTGACCGAAGCTCGAATCCGGGCTCCCCACGCGAGAGCTGGGGGTCGCGACCAGCCGACCACCACACGCAAAGCACAGCCGCCACCGACAAGTGCACCGGCGCAAGCACTGCTCGGCGCTGGCGGATCGGTGGCCAGGACTCGCAGCACCCACGATAGTTCGCCAACCGGCCGTGCGTTCGCCCCGCGATGCTGGCCCAGCACGGGCGGTCCGCGCTTGGCCAGCGCAGAGCGCGTGCGACGCTGGCTGACCGACGCTCGTCCACGTGCGACCCACTGTATTTCGCTGATCGGCGACGCCCTCAGCTCATCAGGTTGCGACCAAACTGGGGACTGGGGATAAATCCCTGCAGCCGAGCCATTGCAGTGATGACGCACTATGCGGAACCACAGGTCATGTCGCGTCGGACTAGCTTGGGCTAGCGCCCGCAGCTACCTGGGGGATCTTATCACCTCACCGCGGGGACTGTTCCTGCAAAGGTCACACGTGCAGGTGTCACGGTTTCGGTTTCCGTGGACGTGGGTCTTGGTTTCCACGGAAACGGGTCTCGGTCTCTGTGGACACAGGTCTCGTTTTCTGCGGACGCGGGTCTCGGTTTCCGTGAGCATGAGTCTCGGTTTCCGTGGGCACAGGTCTCATTTTCTGTTGGCACGGGTCTCGTTTTCTGTGGGCTTTGGTCTCAGCTTTTGTGAACATGGGTCTCAGTTTTCTGTGGACACGGGTCCCGGTTTCCGCGAACACGGGTCTCGGTGTCCGTGGACGCCAGCCTCGGTTTCCCGCAAACACGGGTCTCAGTTTCTGTGGGTATCGGTCTCGGTTTCCGTGGACACGGGCATCTTTTTTCGAACACGGATCTCGGCTCTGCGGTCACCGGTCTTGGTTTCCAGGGGCAAAGGTCTCGTCCTCGACTGATGCCGGCGTCCTTATTTTATGTAATGAGGTTGTTCCGTCCCTTCTCGGACCCCAATTGCTACTCTCAGCCGACCTTGACTTGCAGGTATGGAATGATGCGGCCGTGCAGATCCTGTTCTCGGTCGGGGCCGGCTTCGGTGTCCACTTGACCTATGCCAGCTACAACGAGTTCAACAACAACTGCTACAGGTCAGATGCCGACCTCCGCCGACCTCCGCTAGAGAGGCAGGCCGTCTGTTGCGAAACTGGGGGAAGGCCACTGCCCAACGTCCGTAAATGGCATGCACGGCGCTAAATCACGAACGCACAGGCACGGAAACGCGACTTATGTCACGCTACTGTTCAAGGAACCGCAGTTTCTTTCCGAGCACTCTTAGAATACGCTAATGGAATCCTGAATGAACGTGAACGGCGCAAAGTGTCACGAAAGGGAGCTCGCACACCAAGCATCCCATAATTGACCGGCAGCTATGCAGAACCGTGGCACTTCTATTTAAAGTTCTATCATGTGATATAAATCTTTGGTGTTTATCTAGGGTGCGTTTGTGGGACGCTCAGGTGTGTCATGCCCCTGTTGCAGGGATTGCCTCATAGCTACCGGCGTAAACTCGATGACATCTTTCATGTCGGGTTTTGTCATCTTTATCTACCTGGGCTTCATGAGCCACCAGCGAGGCGTGCCGATACAGCACGTCGCCACTGAAGGTAATGGACCAGCTTCCGATGCCGTGCTGTCCCCATGCTAATCCAGCATGTTGAAGACAGAAGTCCGCAATCCGCCTAGATACCTAATTTAGATGCAGGGTCGAAAAGGGAACGAAACAGGAAGTTACAATCCGGTCCAGTATTTTCTTTCTGAAATGATACCTTGAGCGCTTGCACTAAGCCTACTGGTACCAGCGTCGGATGCAGAAGGAGGGGCATGGAGACATGTCCAGCTCCCTTGGGCAGAAGAGGCTCCTTAATCCTAATTTCGGGTACATGTAACTTTGTTTCAAAGCGCACGTAAGTTCAGGGGCAGCATAATCGGTTCCAAATTTGTGGGTTCAGCATACAAAATCAAAGAAAATTGGCCCCTAGACCTGAAGTAAACTAAAACCGGCGGACAATTCCGGCGGAGAAATGTAACCGATTGAAAGTTAAGAATCTGGAAATAAAGTGGCCGAAATCCGGGGACTTCTTTGTGAACGGGGCTGGGACCCAGTTCCAGTGAGCACCATACTGAAGCGTGGCCCCTCCCTAGACGAAGTCTTGGATCCGCCCCTGAGTGGTACAAGAGCTGTTCCTGAGGCACACTGGATGCCATGCTTTCCCTCGGTAAACTGATCTCCACCTATGCCTGCAAACCATGCTGTCTGATTTGAGACAACTAGTTTTGACATGCTTCCAAGAACAATCACTGAATGTGTTGGATATTGAGCCCCTCAGAGATTCAAGGAAACGAGCATATCCCACCCGATATGGCCTCCCGACAAGCCTGGACTTGCTTGTCATTGCGTCCAAACAAGCTTATAGATGCCACTTCGCCGCCTGTCTTCCTGACGACACGTCAGCGGACACTGTCACGGTCTGTTGATCCCGAGTGAGCGGCAGCAGCGCCACGAACCGGCGGCCGACCGGTGCCCCCTGACACGACCAGAAGTCCAGCTTCGGCGCGCTGTCGACTGACCGGAGCTGGCTGACCGGCTGGCGGCCAGCCGGCCGGTGTCTGCTGACGTGCGATGTGTGCCACCCGCAGGGCCGGGCTTGGTGTTCCAGGTGTACCCGGAGGCGATCGCCACCCTGCCCTACCCTCAGCTCTGGGCCGTCCTCTTCTTCAGCATGCTCATCATGCTCGGCATCGACAGCGGAGTGAGTCACGTGACGGGCTGTAACGTAACGCGATGAAGCCGGCAGCCGATAGGATCACGGCGAGGCTCGGTCCGGACAGCCTAGCGGACATCTAGGCCTGCACTGACTAAAATTTAGGAACAGCTCAAGCTAAGAAAATCCATACTTCCCACAACATTAAAAACTGCTAATTTATCACACGCACTCACCGCGCTGGCATTGGGCACCTGGAAGCGTGCGAGCCACAGAGCCGCAGCGCTGAAGTGCGCTTGGTGCTAGCCGATCTGCGCTGTCATTGCCAAACTAAGCGCGGCAGTCCAGCTGGGCCTTCCTTTCGTCCGCCACGCCGACACGTGCCGGCGCATGCTCTGCGCTGGAATATGCCCCGGGCTGCCTACCGCGCGGGCCGCGTGGCGCACGACCGTCCGGTGGCAGGTCTGCGCACTCACGCGCCCTCAGAGGGTACGTCCCAGCGCGCCACCTGCGCGAACGGGCCGCTACGTGCCGTGGGAGCGGGTACCAGCGCGCACGGCCAGCTGGTATCCGGAAAAAGCCCGGCCCGAAGCTGCACTTTCAGCGAGATGTGTTGAAATATTGAGTCATGCCCAGATATGCCTCAGGTTTAGGTGTTAACTGAACGACACCATGTCGACCACGGCTGAAACTTCTGCCCGTTTTGACTCTATTCATCGGGCTCCAACAGGTACATACGTCTTAATATCAGCATGCAGCCAAACCACCCGTCTTGCTCCTCGTGCAAATGGTCACCTGCGTAGAAAGCTGAGCCAAATAGGCGTCCGCTGGCGCGTTGTTTGATATTCCGCAATGGATACAGTATCATTTTGTTCTGTCACAGCCTCTCTCCCTCTCTCTCTCTCTCTCTCTCTCTCTCTCTCTCTCTCTCTCTCTCTCTCGCCGAACTCCCTTTCTCTCTCCCTCTCTTGTCTTCTCTTTCCCCCTCCCTCTCTCCTCTTCTCTCTTTCTCTCCTCTCTCCTCTCCTCTCTCTATTCTCTCTCTCTCTCTCTCTCTCTCTCTCTCTCTCTCTCTCTCTCTCTATCTCCTCTCTCTCTCTTTGCTGAGAATGACCTACTGGGAGCAAATAATGGGAACCAGTACTTGGAACCAATAATTAGAACCAATAATGCCACAATTTGTATCGTGACCTGGGTACAAGAACGGTATGAGGTTTCAGTCGACACAAGAACAACACGATGTTCATTTGCAGATCATTAAGTACCACAATAAAATATTTGCTCATCGAATAAAGATGGAGCTTAGGATCAGCTAAGCATTGCTAGTGAAACACAATTTGGAAAGCGCGCAACCACAAATAAAAAGACCCAACAGCAACAGCAAAAACAGCAAAGACCCAACAAGACTGGGAGCATTTCCAGAGTATGATAGCTGAGAGTGGGCCAGGTGGGAGTGAGCGCGGCATCATTCCCGATATCACCTAATCACTAACTTGACGATGGCTGTCAGAAATCACACTGCGACTCACTCGGATATATTCCCCTGAAACCGTCATGAAATATGGGCGCACACTGTCACCAGCAAGCCGTCATGCAGACGTGAAGTGAACAGAGAGGTTGAAACGGAGATAAAGCGACAAACACGCGTCATCATGAGGTGGCCTTTCACCACTGCTGCCTGCTGCGAGGGACGAAGCACTACCCATGGAGAAGATGAGTCGCATGCCGTGGCTTTCGAGATTTTCGCTTCGCCAGTGACTCGGGATACAGACGAGATACCTTTAGGCGTTGATCCGATTTATACGAATGAGGCTACGACTTCTGGAAAGAGATCACTGCACACATAGTAAGCAGGGGGGAATGAGCCCAAGAAGTGACAGCATTCTAGACCACACCATGTTTTTTTGCGACATCGCTTGGCTTCGCTTCACGGCGGACACAAAAAGGTCGCGCTCATCGGTCTGAACGTGGCCAACAGGATACCAATATGGTTGTCGGGCTTCCACAGCCGACACGTCGCGACCGCAGGCCCCTGCAGGAAGCGCTTCATTTGCGCATCGTGGCGGAACTCCGATGACTTGTCACGGGCTCGCTGGCGAGCAGCATCTTCATCAGCAACATGTGCCAGCGCGCTGGCTGTCGACAAGCACCATGATGTCGCAGCCTATTGCTGGGAGGGACGGCTAAGGCCTTTCCAAGGAAGATTCCTCGCTAGCGTCTTTGTGTCGCCCATATGCCCTTGGCCTGAGTTGATGCTGACGACAATGCCTCTTTGAGTCTTTAGAAAGGAAAGGGTAGTTAAAGAAAATGGTTCACATTTGAAGATATTGAAGCAAACATCGATATGATGGAACAGGCTCGCTTATAACTGTTGATGTACTTTTTAAGTTGAAAAGACCGTTCTAGACAGCACAATTCTCTGTTTTATAGATATTCTCCGCAATGCGACAAAGTTTGATTACGTCATCCTATCTTGCACATCATTGATTGAGAGCCGATTGCCGGATGTTATATCTAGAAATCGCGTTCAGGAACACCAGATATAAACGCCTCGACACTTATGTGTCTTTTGGCCGTGATTGCCGCATGGGTTATGGAATGGCGGTGCCGAGGTTTCTTTGAAATACTCTCCCCGATATACCTTTCCCCATTTTCGGTGGCGTTTAGCTGAGAACCTAGAGGGGCTTAGGTTTTAAGGAGGACAGGATTGTGAACAGCACCGAACGTTCTTCAAGATGGCTATTTGAGTTCAAAGCCGCATATAAATGTGGATAGCTCGCTTTAAATAACTTTTTGCTTCCGGGTAGATCCAATGCTAGCAGCCATTACCTTAAACGCTTACCTTTGGCGTGCCTGAGTGGCGAATCATGTTTCTTGGCATCGTTGACTTATACCATTCGTAAATATACCATCATTGACGCAACCTGTTTTTGTGACATTGTTTCTTGCTAAAATGATGGCCCAACGTTTTAATTGTAGACACATGTTCGGTTTAAATATAGACATCCGCTGGCACTAGACTAAATATCTTTTGAAAAAGGATACATACAGTCCCGTAGTTACAAAGGAAAGTGAAATTTCGCAACCTACGTCATAACAATTCAGGCTTGTACATATAGTATCGCGCACCCTATTAATAAGATGTTCAGAAAATATATTTTTGCCACGCTGTCCAGGTAGACATCAGTTATCGCAAAATGCTGACGCCTATGAATTTTGCTTAGCGCGCTGGCAACGTATGACACAACCTCCATACCGCTAATTTGGCAGTTTGACCCTATGTACGGTCTCGTGTTCGGCTAAGTGGTTACTGGGTGAGCTCTTTACATAAGACCTGTCTGACTCTTCACGACCTTTGTTTTGTCGCACAATATGAATGCCATTCGTTAACTCATCAATTTGTAAGCATCCGCATGCTTCTTCGCTCCAGCACCACGACGTCACAATGGTGTGATTATTCGTCGTGGACGTACGCCATATTTCCTCATCATAATTTCAGCAGAAACACCCGACGTCTCCGTTCTCCTACCAGACCAGTGCATTAGCAGCCTGGGATATGGATGGCTAAACTTGGCTTGAGCTGGGCCACTGTTACGGGCAATGTTACGTGCGGTAACAACCGAGAAATCAAATTCACGAGGAGGAACAGAATCCCCGCGAATTTTAAGCCGCTTGCCCAATTGTATGCGATGCAACGCGTGACGCGTGACGAACACTTGGAAACATCAGAACATTTTTGGTGCATTATTTTTACACCGTGGAAAACCTTTCACGGCAAAGCTGAACCAATATTCAAAACATATCTAGCAAATTATGGGCTTCTACCTTTTTCAGCTCAGCAAATTATCCGACCCAGTGGCGTTAACCACAGCATATTTCCATCAAGAACAGTCACACTTTTGAAATGCTCGCCGACTTTTGTGACAAAACGCATCCACGCATTTCGAATAAAGCGCATCATCGTGTAAGAGGAAGCGGGTGGTAAGAGGTTCGACACGATCTCATTTTCGGCTCAACCGCGCACGACAGTGCTCAAGGGCAGCCACTCGGAACCTGCGGCGTCATCGGCGGCATGGTACGGCCAGCGCGGACGGGCTCTGCAGACAGCGGGCTTCTTGCGCACCCAACTAGCTAAACATGGTACGGCCAGCGCGGACGAGCTCTGCAGACAGCGGGCTTCTTGCGCACCCAACTAGCTAAACACGGTACGGCCAGCGCGGACGAACTCTGCAGACAGCGGGCTTCTTGCGCACCCAACTAGCTAAACACGGTACGGCCAGCGCGGACGAACTCTGCAGACAGCGGGCTTCTTGCGCATCCAACTAGCTAAACATGGTACGGCCCGCGCGGACGGGCTCTGCAGACAGCGGGCTTCCTGCGCATCCAACTAGATAAACATGGTACGGCCCGCGCGGACGGGCTCTGCAGACAGCGGGCTTCTTGAGCATCCAACTAGCTACCACCGAGAGTTTGTGAGAGAGACCGGGGCAGAGAGACCAGAAACCAGTTTGTGAATGCAGTTCAGACGTTGGGAAAGGGACTATGTACCAAGCAAGTCACGAGGCTTGTTAAAAGTTTTCATGTCTAATCTTTCCTTACTGCAGCGTCAGTCTTGTCGGTTTCAATCGCCGCTTCTCATGCCATGTCCAGTCTAGCGTCAGTAAATACCCATGGGTTTTAGCACCAGTGTGAGTGCTAAAAACTAAAAAAGACGTGTAACGACTATCAGTAACACCCCAACCTCGCAAATAAATCAGAGCACGCTAATACTTGGAGGTCCATACCGTCATACCGCAAAGTTGTGGTTAAAACAATCTGCGGTTTCTTTTTATGAAGCAACTGGGCAAACACGCGCAGTTTTCTGTTGTACCCGATTGGCTTGAGGCACCCTGTACCAGCATTGGGGAAATAACACTCGCGTGGGAATGCATACAGCCACACTTAATGTTAGTGCAAAAACCAACAGCTGCCGAATGGAAATAATGCAAGACAAACAACACGTTTATGCCATTTCCCAGACGATTGCCTGTTTTTGACCGAAGGCTCCCTGATGAGCTGGGACCACGCATTTTGGAGTCTGGTGAGCGGGATGACACGCGGTGTGCACCGATTCAGTATCCTCTTCTGTCCGCTTGCCCAGCCCACGGATTGCGAGGAAAATGCGGTGCATTTTAAGGCAAGTATGACACAGGAACTACTGTGAGTTAAGCGTCCGAAAGTCAGTCAAATAAGGGCCACCCATTTTGAAATTAAACTACCTTTGTTTTCCAAAATCTTAAACAAGACTTAATCTGTTTTCGCCCCGGAATGCTCAAAATCATAATCCACTTCAATCCGCCACATTTCATTTTTTGGTGCAACATAACAACTGAAAAATACGTGAGCACATCTAGCACTTGTCCGACAGACTGCTTTCACAATGTAAGGCCTAACTTACCCTGCCTTACCCGACCTACGTTCAAGCTTGGCGCGCGTGGTTCACGTTAGTTGTGGGTCTTGCCGCCAGATGGGAGGACTGGAGTGCGTCATCACCGGCCTGATGGACGAGTTTGGAGCGCGCTTCAAGAGCTGGCACCTGCACCGGCGTGTGGTGACGCTGTTCGTGGTCGGCTCATCCTTCCTGGTAGCCCTGACATCGCTAACGCCGGTATGCGAAAACGGAGCTAACCTTCCTGACTCCCTGTAAGAAGAGTATGGATGCGATCGCCGTGACATCGGCGAACAGCTGGCCGGTGTTCTGGAGGGGAACCGAGCAGCGCCATTGCATTTGCTGGCTTCATTCTTAGCGTCAGTAAGCAGCATCTGGTTGGATTCAATACTCGGTCACAGCAACAGGCCAGGACAGCGTAGGACACATTGCCTGCCGGAGTGGTCCGTGCCGTTTGCATCGACTGAGCTCAGACGGCGCCCTCCAGCTGAGGAACACTTGAGGACACACTCAGGCTGAGGGACACCTGAGGACAAAATCTTGCTGAGGGACACTTGAGGACACCCTCCAGCTGAGGGACAACTGAGGACACCCTCCGCCCGAGGGACAGCTGAGGACAGCCTCTTGCTGAGAGACACCTAAGTACATTCTCCAACTGAGGGACGCCTCAGGACACCCTCCGACTATGGAACACCTGACCTCCGGCTGACATTTCTCTACAGCGTGCGTGGGCAACACAGATGCCCACGCGGTACTGTGCGAGAGGCTGCAAATAACGCAGCCATTATACGTGACATTCGCGGCGCGATCAATGACAGCCGGAAATGAGTCGGACATACAAAGAAGCGGCATTCACTATGCATTTCTTACAGACGCTATCAAAAGAAATTATAATACAACAGATGGCCGGACTACAATATGTGGAGGAAATCGGACCCGGATAAGGACACGTCTTCGGCTAGGTGGGGCGCGTGGGTCAAGTTGCCATGAGTTTGATCTATCACTTACCTAGAAATAGTCCGCCTGAGCATCACATCCTGCCTCAGGTTATCATCCACGCTCTTAACAAGCCATTTTCATTCAAACATCCGTGATCGCAAAAAGTTCCCAGATTTTGAACATCTTTCATGTACACCTTGAAATGCATGATAGCTTTACACGTTTCACAAGTGCAAAAGATACAGCCAGTTGCCGAGCACCAGCGTTCGTCACCAAACTGACAAGTAACTTCGACGCGGTGAAGAACCGGGCCAGGTACGGAGTCCCGCCACCTGCTATAATACCAAACCCAGCATGACCTGCCATTGTGCTCTAGTACATAGTCTGGCCCGGTGTCCTGACATCACACTGGTCCCAGTCTGGTACTGTGCTCCTGCTCATCACACGGACCCCAGTCCGGTGCTGTGCTCCTGCTCAACACACGGACCCCAGTCTGGTGCCGTGACCCCGCTCATCACAGGGAACCAAAACTGGTGCTGTGGCCCCACGCATCACATGGACCGCAGCCTGGTGCTGTGACCCCGCTCATCACACGGACCCAAAACTGGTGCTGTGACCCCGCACCACTTCCTGTTTAACGCTTCACTCTGCTACCGAGTCCGACCCAGCGTTGAGTCTGACCAGTTACTGCGATCTGCTACAAGCGGCCCGTTGGCGTAATCCGACAAATCCGGCTTTGACCTATGATGGGCCGATACCGAGTTGGAATAGTATGATATAGTGGGGCGGGGCGGAATAGCTGCTGTTATTCCGGACCAGGCCTGACCAATTGCTATGGCCGGGTAATAGATCTCATCAATTCCTGCGACCTGACAGTAAGCCAGACTGTGATCGTGACTCCCTGTTGTGACATGGCGGTACACATGTGTTCATCAGGTCATGACCCGCTGCTGCGACAGGACGGTACACGCGTGTTCACCGGGCCATGGCTCGCAGCTGCGACAGGGCGGTACATACGTGTGTACCTGACCGTAACTCGATGCTGCGACAGGGCGTTACATGCCTGTTCACCGGGCCATGGCTCGCTGCTGCGACAGGGCGGTATATACGTGTTCACCTGGCTGGACACGTACTCGGCGGGGCTGGCGCTCCTCTGTTCGGCCCTGTTCGAGGCCATCGCCGTTGGCTGGGTGTACGGCAGCCACGTGCTGGCGCGCGACATTCAGCAGATGACGGGCTCCACACCCGGCCTCTTCTGGCGCTGCTGCTGGAAGTTCATCTCGCCGCTCTTCCTCGGGGTGAGTGCTCGTGGCAGCCGGTTTGGCGGCGAGCGCCACGCGGTAGGCTTTCGGAAGATGCGGCAGGTGGCGCTAGTGGGTAAACCAGCATAGTTAAGTCACCGCCGACAGTCAGACAGCTGAGCGCTCTCTTGCGCTGTGCTCCTCGCTGCAGGGCTACAGCTATTCCCGTCGCTCGGCTCACTCCTATCGCCTCATCAGAAAACGCCAACTGCAAAATAGCCCTGAACCGTAACCTGACCAGAGCGCAGGAATGGCTCGACCACGCCCACTCGCCGTGCACCGCCTACGCGGCCGCGTGCCGTGGCAGCGCCGGCACGCCGACGGCGCCCTCCTGCGGCAGTCGGTGCTGGTGCTGGGCGTGGTGTTCTCCGGCCCGCTCAGCTACGACGGCTTCGAGTACCCGCTGTGGGCCACGGCACTCGGCTGGACGTACGCGCTGGTGCCGGCGCTCTTCGTGCCGGCTCTGGCGGCGCGCGCTCTCTGGAAGTACAGCGGCCACGGCCTGGGACAGGTGAGGCACCGGCGTCCGCGGCCGGCCGCCAGGGCGGCGGCGCTGGACGGTGGGGTGGAGGTGGAGGCGAGGAGGGCGTTGCAGGAGGGTTAGGGAGGCTGCACGGAGAAAGGCCAGACATGCACCTCATTAAAAAGCTCAGTGCCCGGGATGCAAGGGAAACCTACAGGTTGAGGAGAGGTCAGGGACGTCACCAAAGATCAAAGACGGGAACACTTCGAAATAAATACCAAAAAGGCCTTCAGGGAGGATGCCAGCAATGTCCCGTATCTGACGACCAGTCCCGCTGGCGGTGAACAAGACAAGCATGTTTGAAGCCATGCCGACGGGAAGTCAAATGAGCAAGATGAGTGGAATGCGCGACGATAAATTGGTTACTGACTCGGATCGCTTGGAGCGCCATCTGTGCCGTGAAGATGGCGCCACCTTTCAGTCGCGGACTACAGGCATGCCGCCCCCTCCCCCAGTCCCCATCGCGTAAGACGCGGGAACCTGGGAGGGAGAGTGGGCCCCGGGGTTAGCAGTTTCCCTCCCCAACTTGAAAGCTGGCCATTCCAGCCTGTAGAGGGCCCATTCTGATATGTATAAGACATACTATTGACTATGGTTGGCCCGTTCTGCCCTGAAGAGGGCCTCATTCAGGCCTGTAGAGTTCCCATTCCGACCTGCAAGTAGCCCATTCTGGCCTAACGAGGGTGTATTCTGAGCTGTAGAGGTCCCACTCTGACCTAAAATGTGTGAAACTCTAGCTTGTAGAGGGTCTATCCTAGACTGTCGACGGCCGGTCGTCCTGCACCTCCCACTTTGATCTGTAGGGGCCGTTCTTACCTGCATAGGGCCGTCATTGGCTTTAAAGGGGCCATTTGAGGTTGTAGGGGCCCTACTATCTTATCTAATGATCCATGATGTCCCTTTTTGGAGCTTGTGCCCCAGCTTCAGCAAAGTCTCCTAGCCCCTGCCACAGCGACCATCCACGGTCGTGCACTATCCAATGTCCGATTCTTAAAAGTTCCTATTTGATCTAATCGTGACTTACGAAACAATGATGCCCTCCAGCTGAACCATCTCTCCTTAGCGGCGATGATACGGAAGTCAGATAACGATACGGAGTCCCAGACGCGAGTCGTTTGCTCTGAGACCGATAAGGATCCGCTTCATCAGTTTTCCTGACGTACCTCACTGTGGCGAACAGATTTTACGTCACATCGGCCGGGTACATAAGGCTGAATAGGCACCCTTGTCGAGGCATGACGATGAACTGTGGTGTGATAAGCCAGCTGATCACACGACGCACCAGGCACCGTTGACACTGTTCTCACTGCTGGCATGATGCACCGTTGTCAATGTCATGCCTGCACTTGGTGATTTTTTTAGCCCAATCGACCGAGATTCCATCTCATTGCATTATTTTGACTCTGATTCCGAACAGCACTGTGTGACCACGATCCCGACTGAGGGAGGTGCGGCCCATGCCGAACTCTGATCCAATGAAGTCGATTTCGGTGATAGGAGTTTGAAGATCCACCCCTTAGTTGTGGAGCTAACAATGGGCTTCATGGAAGCATACGGAAGGCAGTTGTGCTGATGACCAGGCGGATCAAATGACCGCTCTGTTTGGTAGGCGTATGGGCTACCACTGGACTTACCGCAGGTTGTTACTCACGTGTATATCTGAGCCGACTCTCAAATCACATGTTCACACAGCTCCAAACAAGACTGTCAATGCAAGTGAGGAAGAATCGCTCCCATCCTGACTAAACAAAACAGCCTGCATGACTGCGGAGTTAATGCCGGCCGTCTGGAGGCAACCGTCTGTTTGATGTCATTTCGCCAGGTGCGCAGGCTCGCGCGGCGTCGGTTCGCTCCGCGTCATGGTGGTCCTTACTCATCCCGCCGTGGGTCTTGCAGGCAGGGTGGCACTCAGGCATCTCGCCCGAGGGGGACGCATAAGGCTATTCGGACAGGTGAGACCGCCCCAGGCCGCTTCCAGCTTCTTCCACTGATCACCCGTGTGAAGTGCCACCGGGCTTCTCCAATGGAATCACCGGTGGGAGGTGCCACCGGGCTTCTCCACTGATCCACCGTGGGAGGGGTGCCACCGGGCTTCTCCACTGGATCACCGTGGGACGGTCCCACACGTGCTTCTCCACTGGATCACCGTGGGAGGTTGCCACCGATTCTCCACTGGATCACCGTGGGAGGTTTTACCGGGCTTCTCCACTGGACCCACAGTTGAGGCGCCGCCTGGTGGTTCACTGGACCCACCGGTGACGTACGCCTGGCCGGTTCACCTGGAAACCCGCTGTGAGGTGCCGACTGACTGGTCCAATGGACCACGCGTGACGTACCGCTGGCTGGTCCACTGGACCACCGTGTGAGGTGCCGCTGGCTGGTTCACTGGACCACGTGTGAGGTACCGCCTGGCTGGTCCACTGGATAACCATGTGAAGCTGGTCCACTGGACCACCGTATGAGGTCCCAACGGGCTGGTCCCCTGGATAACGTGTGAGGTAGGGTGACTGCCGCACTGCAGGTCCCGCACTGGATCACGGCTTGAGGTCGGCTTCGGGGATCCACGCGGGATCACGGCTCGCGTAATGTGGAATCAGACTGCCCACACAGGATCACGCGTAATGTGGGATCAGACTGCCCACATGGCATCACGGGGTAACGTGAGACCAGACTGCCCACATGCCATCACGATGTAATGGGGATCAGACTGCCCTCAAAGGATCACGGGGTAATGTGGGATCAGACTGTCCATCTTGGATCACAATATGATGTAGAACTAACCCATTCGCTTCTTTTTACGCACGGGAGTCTCGCGCAAGCCTTCTCCCCGATTTCCCAGCCCCACGCTGCCCGCCTGGTGGAACAGGGCGCCCTGCTGCCTCTAGCCGACCCGGTCAGGCGGGAAGAGGGGCCGATGGTGTCTCAGCCACCAACCCGTCCCGAATAGGGGTCAGGGCACCCGTGGTGTTGTATGTTGTTTGCAGAAACTTTGGGCGCTGCATTTCATGCTGGTTCACGGGCACAAACCCTTCCAACCTTGACCTCCGAGACCGAAAGAAGACTGACAAATCTCCGGCGACCGTTGAAGACGGCAGACAGGACCTCCGCCGATACGCTGGAGGCAGACAGGACCTCCATCGCTACGCTGGAGGTAGACAGGACCTCCACCGCTACGCTGGAGGAAGAAGACCTCCACCGCTACTCTAGAGGCAGACATACCTCCACCGCTATACTGGAAGCAGACAGGACCTCCTCAGCTATGCTGGAGGCAGGCGACGCATCATGGGAGGGGAGAGAGCTAGATGGATTGGGGGAGGGGGGGGGGGGGTAGATGGAAGGGGAGCTAGATGAAGAAGGAGGGAGGGGGGGGGGAGGAAAGCGGACCACACCCGGATCGGGACCACTCCCACCCTGCCCCTCGCCAGGGGAGAGCAGGAGGGCAGGGCCGGGAGGCTCCTCGTGCACATACCGTGGCGGCTCGTGTGCAGGTGTTTCATCTTGCGCCAGCATGCCGTCCCACCCTCTGTCCGACATCGATGGTCGTCTAGTGCCCGTGCGCTGGGGCAAAGGTATTGAAGATTGTGTATGCTGCTGCTGCGTCGTGAGCGACACGTTTTGCAGAGACGGTGGACAGCTTTGTTATCTGGAGTCGGTAGAAAACTTCGCTACCGAACAATTCCACCACGTTGGTGTCGTTTTGCGAGGAGCACGATTTTCAGTTATTGAAATCTGTTGAATGTACGACGTCAGCTTGCCGCCGTGGTATAGATGTATTGGTGTCACCCTGCACTGTTTGTACTTGCACTGGGACCCCCCGTCACCGTTTGTGAACAAGATGTGTCAACGGCCGCGAGCGTGCCTCTGCCGTCTCGTGGCCCGCGGCTGGCCCGGGTCATGTGCGCTGACGCTTCCCTGTCTGTACCATGCGTGTCCCAAACGCACGATATGTTCTAGAGGTACCCAGCTCCGTTGGTGGGTCGTCCCGAGACCCGTTCGGTGTGGCTCCATGTGGCTCAATAGCCAGCTAGGTGTACTGTGATGTGCCACACCAAACATAAAGCTGACGCGGTTTTCATGGAGGCTGCGGGAACGCGGAGGCGGAGCGCGCAGTCAAGTCCGTTCCGTACTAAGAAGCTCGCATCTGCCACGAAACGCTTATCGCCGCCACAAAGACAGTGATAGTTGCAGCCTGTTCACGGCGGAATGCTATTCTAATCTTACTTTGCAATGCGAACCATTGCAGCTTCAGTCTGAAATGTTACTCATTACGCCTTCAATTCGTAGTGCTGCTAATTTGGATTTGGAGCAGAAGTGTCTCTTACGGATATCGTAATCTCCATCTTAACTTATTTAAACTTTGACCTCTACCACTGACCGTTGCGCAGCTGCAAAAAAAAACGCACTAAAAAGCAGTCCAAGCAGTTGGTACGGGGATACCTTCCCGCCCCACGGGCTCAGGACCCCTGTGAATGTGCAACGAAAACAGTATAATGCATTCACGCGCGTAACAAATCAAATGACCAAAAATACTGGCTCGCCAAACGGCTATCGTAATTCGGTCGCGACGCATCGCCCGGTATGACCCTATTGCATCACGTGTTAAGCTTGTAAAACGCCGACCTTTACCTGCTCACAGCAGCAGCGGTGACTTAGCGCTATCGCCTGGAGTTACCCACACTTATAGCGGTCAGCCCACTCCAGTGTGTGGCGCAGCCGAGGGGACCGGGGGCCGGCGCTGACGTCATCGGGCAGCAGTGACGTCATCGGCCGGCAGGCAGGACGCGACGGACGCCGAGCACGCAGAACGTGGAGCGGCAGGTGGGGCAGGGGCACTTGGAGGCCAGCCAGGTCTCCGGGCTGTCCTGGTCCTGGCGGGAGGCGAACCTGTCGAGACAGCGGCCGCAGCGTGAGGCTCGACGCTCCCGGCACCGCACCGCGCGTCACTGACAACCGGGGGGGGGGGGGGGGGGGAGAGGGCAGAGCACGATGGCCAAATAGCATCCCAGCACGGCGGATGCCCGCGGGACATGGACGGCGCCAGTGACACCCACCGCCGCCCACTGCGGCACGGATCGCACACCAACGCACCGCAGTCTAATGCCGACAGGGAACAGCGAGGACCAGGGGCACCGTGGTTCTGCTACTGGTCATCGTCAGGACGGCGAGAGCGCAAATAGCAATCCGTCGCCACCCCCCCCCCCCCCCCCCCCCTGTAAAAATTGGCAGCGTGCGAGGGTGTTGTGAGTGGGGAGCCACCATCCGTTTCTTTTGTGTGTTAGCGGCTCATGGTGAAGGCAGCAGTGGCCTCTCACCATGGCAGAAAGGGCGGGCATCGCAGCCTCCTGAATCAAATCCCACACCTCTGGTTTCACAGACGCGCAGCGGTATAGGTATTCCTTATTAAGGGGTAGGAAAAGCTTCTGATGTACCGGATATGATTAGTGACAAACACCGATACCTCTGCGAACCAATTGGTGACCAATTTCCGTAGATGAAAACAAATTTCAACAGACAAGACTATTACGACAGATTATCCTAACGCGACGAAACTGAACGCTTAGTATTGGTCTGTAATCGCTAACGTTTGCAGCGTGAACACATGTCGAAACGTTGACATTTCGCTGCATGAGCAAGTTGAGCCATGAGATGCCGCCAAATGTAGTAGCTTTAATCAGTATAGTTTTTAGCAGGTGATAGAAACGTGGTACAAACTATGCTATATCAATGCTTACGTCACAGATCAGTGGTGACACAGGGCCTTTCCAACGCCCCTCGGATCGGTGTTTTTCAAAGATTTTTTTTTCGTGTAAGGTTTACTTCACATACTAAACAGTATAAAATACCAAATAGCTTGGCTTAATACCAGTCGTAATAATCGTGGCTCGCCCCCGCATCTTGCGACGTTCGTAATCAGTTTGCTACGCAGTGTTTTAAAACCGGGCATGCCATTTTAGAAAGATTGGTTTGATTGCTCGCCGAACGGTAATGCGTTTGGGTCAGGGTGAGGCTGTGGGCTGCTGTTGGTTGCGTTCAAGTCGTGAGAAGCTCACTGGCTGGAAGAACGTAGCCAATCGTCAGTTTTTAAGGTAATGATTGCGTTAAGAGTCGTGCTGATCTAGGAGACTTGTCTGTGGATACCTAAGTCGTAGCTTCAGAGGTAAACGGTGGCCGTTGGGGCGACACATGTCAAGGATCCATCCAGGGCTTCCTGCTACTGAGAGGAACAGCTGCTTTAAGGTAAGAGGTCGAGCATCGCTGGCGTAGGCCTCTCATACTGGCCGTTGTCGCTAAGACTTAGCGCGCTGCTTGGTGGGCAGGCGCGAGATAGAATACTTTTATCCGTGATTATATTGCGTATAAAGCTAAATGAAGGTCCTAAAGGTGTTTACAAATTTCATTTGCATCTGTTGATACCAGCATTATACGGCTTTTGCTCTAAATAATTGGGATCATGTTAGGAGGCGCGAGTTCTGCACTGGTAATAATTATACGAAGATGGTGAAGGTTGCCAACGCTTCCAGCTGATTGCACGATGACGCCACGAAAACAAGTGATATTGTTTTAAGTGCTTGTAGAATCATGCTATCGGTAAATGTTGGGCTACAGGGATGCAGTTTTGCAAAATACGTAGGGGCATGGGATGAAAGGGGTGGGGAAGGGGTGCATGAAGAAAAACGGCTGAGCCGGCCTCCGAAATGCACTTAAAGCAGTTTTCTTTCCAGATTTGACGCACTTTTTTCGCAGGCGGGAACAGGGGTGTAGCTCCTCAAAATTACTTTTTGGGTGGCTGAACCCCCAAATTATATTTAATGAAAAAAGATGCACAAAAATCGTAACTAGAAATATCGTACTGCATCCCTGGTTAGAAGGCACCATCCCACCTCACCCCCCCCCCGCAATCAAATAGGCAACTACACGTCTTTAGGCTGGTTATGTCAAGTATGCCTTTATCTAATAATTTGGTTAAATTAGTCTCAAGCATAATTCATTGTTTGATGGCCAGCCAACGAAACTATATTGCAAATAAACTCCCGAAACGAAAATATTTGATCGTTAGGCCGCATTGCATCTAAATTGCCTTTGTTTTTGGTGGTTTATCACATTAAGAGGTATATGGCAACGGTTTGTGAACAACTTAACTCCAGGTGACAATTCAAACGGTTCCGAACTTCGTCGGGGACAGAAAGGACACCTTTTCACTCCAGCCCCTTACCACCTGCGCAATTATCCCTAAACATGGAACATTCTCTTTAAAGTCGGTAACGATGCGTGTCAACCAACGACTGCGCGTCCCTTCCCCCGCGCGCCGTATCAGACCGCGTCAGGCACCCGACGTTAGGGGGCTGGGGCTTTGACGGAGTCGCAGCCCACTGCTGCGCGTGGGAGTACCGACTCGGTGCCAGCTAGATGAGTCGGTATGGAGATGTCTACTACGCTGTTTCGGGATTGATTGGTAGCGGGGGTGGAGAATCACAAAATCATGACAATTTTTGCAATATGAATCATGTATCTTAGAAATCAAACTTGACAATTGCAAACTTACAGACCCCTTCTCAAATTTGTAATATATTGGTACTATAAAAATATAGAGCGTTGCTGGTGGTCTATCGCTTCGTTATTGAAATCTGTGTCTGTGATAAACACTTTCGTAGTCGCGATCGTTTAAAACATACGTTTTTCTAAACATGAAAAGGAGGAAATGTCTAAAACTCTAAAACGGTAGCTCTATCGCTCTAATTTTTTTGAGAACAGCATCAAGAATAAAAAGAACCCTGTAATCGGAATTTCGTATAAATCCCACTGGGTCGGGTGACATGGAATGGTTGTGTTGGCATGGAAGAATGGCTGTTTTGAAAACGAAGTAGGATAGCCCAATCGAAGACCAGCACAGCGGAACATTGCCCTGCACGTTGGTAGCCTGATTTCTATCTCGGCCCTTACATATCCTCAGACATTCGCGTCAAGCGCTCGAATGGAAGCCTATCGCCTTGCCTCGGTTCGAGTACCTGACACTGTCACAAAGGTTATAGCCAGATAAGAGGCAACACGGCACGCCACACTTGCCGCGCTCATCAGTGCTGCGCTCGCGCCGATCATCGCAACAAGGCTGGTCTGTGGACGGTCTGTGCAGGCGAGAGGGGCAGCATGGCTGGTCTGTGGACAGTGCTGCTGACCGCACTGTGTCTGGCACAGACCGGCTCCACCCACTATAGTGACTCTGTCCGGCACAGCACCCACGACTGGACATGGGTGAACCCGTGGACCCGACTCCTTCTCGCCAAAAAAGACTTTGACCGGCAGGAATCTCTGCTTCACAGCCAGGGTGACACGCATACGCCTGCGAACCTCAGTCGCGGTAAGTGACACATCGTGGACAAACAGCAGTGAAGGCATATATGCGCTCGATTACGCCGGATGGCGTGGAGCGCACGCGAGCTGAAACAAATCTCGCAGAGTCCGTTGCGTTTTGACGTTTGCTGAGAGCCCACCGACCGAAGCTCCATATAATGTCACGTATATTTTATGCCGGGTGTACAGGGCGCTTGAGGCGTGTTCGGTGACTAGACAACAGCGGCGCGGAGGCTGGACACTATTACTTTCTAACATAGAGGGAATACGGTGAGAAATCTGGCGACAGCGCTTCATTCGACCAGCGCATCCAGTATCTTCTGCTATGCTGTTCTACGTCAGCATGCGTATTGACGGACTTTAGCTTTCGTATGCTACAGAAGCTTGTATTGAGTGCGACACGCATAATGTGTGCACAAATTTATGTGTTATGCACCTCTAAAATTTAAGAAACTGACATATGTACGTACCATCGTGTGGACGGAATCATTTTAGTTCTAAAAATTCACCTTTGTGCCTAAAATAACGTTCAGTAAGCGCTTCCGACATCAGAAACACCATTCTTTGGATCTCAACTAAGACCAAGTTATCGAAAAAGGTCACAAAAGATAAGTTACCAGTAACCTATCCTGGACCCCTAATTGAGAAAAATATACGATTTAGCGGTCGTTGACCTTTGCATCTATTTTTAAGGCAAAGTCCGTTTAAAAGGACAAAAACGGGTAAGAAACGGCCCTTGTTATACAGCATGAGAGGCAATATAGTGATCCAACCAATTACTAGACGTTCTGCAAACCGTTCATTTTAAAAAGACAAGCCCATGGGTGTTAACGGCAGAGGCGCAAGTGGCATGCGAACGCAACATTCCCCCAACATTTCCAACACAAAGGGAACTGTCCGTCTAGTTTTGAAGTACAGCGGGCACCATGTCAGTTCAGGATAGCAGATTTTTCTCTCAAACTGGGCCAATTTCTGGCAAGTTTTGCAATATCTGCCAGTCAAAGAATCGGGGCCAATATCCCAGCTCAGAAAAGTCTAATATGAAGATATTAGGTCGGTCGGGGTATTGCTCACTGCGCGCCATTTTTATCTAACCCATCCAACATTATAGATCGGAAAGTTAACCAACACCTAAGAAGATCATAGCACAGCAACAGCGAAATTCTTGGCACCTGCCTTCCTGACATTACCTTATTTTCACAGCTCACTCCATAAAAGTACTGCAGTACGAAGGCGAATGTGTAATCATTGCCCATTGATGAATTTAGTGTAACCCTTAGATATGAGAGTTATTTGTTTAGATCTGAATGCTCATTTTACAAAAACGCATTACATATAACTATTCAGGTGCGTTGGCCATTACGAATATGACACAGGCGCTGGACCTAGAGAACTTGGTTTAGTAGGATCTTTTATTGGAATCAGATCCCAGTATTAAGTTGTCTTTGGAAGGCTTGATATGCCAAATTATAATATCTACTTACGTAACATTAAACTAAAGGTGTAGAACAGGATTTCCATCCACATCATTAGCGTCACCTCCGTTTCTGATGATGTGATTAGTATGTGCCAACGTTTTGGTAGTATCAACCGAAAATCATACTACGGGCTACAAAAATGGTGACGTGACGTGTGCGTATCCTTTAACTCCAGTAGCCCTGAAAACAGCAATGTCTACGAACTTATCATTGCCGCGTGCATCTGCTACCAGTTAAAGCCCCTAGGACGCAGCAGTGGCGACGAGAGACAGTATGGACCATGACAGCTTCCTTTGGCATGACAACTCTGAGGCCCTAATCTAGAGAACCGTGCTTTTTATCACTAGGCGGTTAATATATTTGAGGTTTCACGACTTAGTAGGTTGCAGGTCTCTAGTTAATTCCTCTTCTCAGAATAGTTGTAGCTTTCATTGGAAAATTAATGAAGCGCTCAGTTAGAATTGCGCATTACGTTGGCCAGCAAATGACCGGCGACCAACAAGTACACATTTAAGACTAACCCAAGTGCTGTCTTCCTACAGGCGTGCCAACGAAAATGGAGCTAGAGTTTGACGACAACACCTCGGCACCAACCAACGCCCCCGCAGGGCCCAGCCGGCGAGACCAGGCCATCGCCAAGGCCATCGGTCCCTACATCAGCCCCATTGCCAACGCCAACATCAGCCCCGCGTGCCATGACAGCACGCTGGCGTACCTGCTCAACATCCTCAACAAACAGTGGGCCCTGCGGATGTTCGACGCCACCGGCAAGATACCCGACGGCGCGTTGGAAGGCAACCTTAGTCCATCTGGGAACTGGGATGAGTGTCTCAACATAACGGCACATTTCAATGCCACCGACATCCTCGGCGTCGAGCCAAATGTCACCAGCTTTACTGGAAAATACTGCACTGCTTTCCTAAGCAAAGCAAGCGTGGAAAAAAGTGAACCCCTGCTCAAGGCACCGCGGGCCGCCAGTGCGGCGCTGGCACCATTTTTGTCCACTCTCCCAGGCGGGTGGGAACTGGACATCGGGATGTGCATTCCCTCCACATGTACAAGTGAGGAACTCACAGTGGGCCTCAACATAGCATTCATGGGGAAAGTAACGGCTGGTGCACCAGACCTCTTCTGCTACACCAAAGATGACAAGACCGAGTTATCTGCAGGGGCCATCGTCATGACCACCATACTATCGCTGACGGGCCTGCTCATGCTCGTGGGCACCACGGTGGACATTGTCGCTATCAAAGCCGCGCAGGACTCCGAAGCGTTGTGGGCTCGCGTCAACATAGCACTCCAGCGGACTCTTCCCGCCTTGCTCCGCAGGGTGTTCCTAGCGTTCTCTGTGTACACCAATGGTCGCAAACTGCTGGACACTTCCTCTACTCGAGATACTCTCAGTTGTCTGCACGGCATACGCTTCCTGTCCAACACATGGGTGATTCTCGGGCATACGTATTATTTGCTTCAATTTTACAAGCATCAAAACATAGCGACGGTTTATACGTACCTGGGCGATGTGGCTTTTCAAGCTATATCTAACGCAACAGTCTCCGTGGACTCATTCTTCTTTTTAAGCGGTCTCTTGGTCGCCTACATCGCTATTCGCAACATCGAAAGATCGCACGGAAAACTAAACATCGTCATGTTTTACGTTCATCGCTACATTCGCCTGACGCCCGTGATGATGCTAATCATCGGTTTTATTTCAACACTGTACGTCTATCTCGGCACTGGACCATGGTGGGGGGCGGCCAACATGGGAACGCCTCAGGCTTGCAGGGACAACTGGTGGAAGAATATGCTCTACATCAACAACCTGGTAGACATGGAAAATCAATGCATGGGGCAGACTTGGTACCTGGCGAACGACATGCAGATGTTTATCTTCTCTCCATTGGTCCTTCTCCCTCTTCACCACTGGCCTAAGCTGGGGCAGCTGTGGATCATCTTTCTGGTTTGTTTCTTCACTGGCATTAACGCCATGGTTACAGCGGTCCATAAGATAGGACTTCCTGGAGGGGACAGTGAGGGATCTGCGCTACATGAAGCCGTGGACGAGGGCTGGACCTTACTTGGTGGGGCTGTACATGGGGTGGATTCTGCACAAGATTCGCGGCCGCAAGATTCACCTTCCAGCGCCTGTGGTCGCCATCGGCTGGATCACGGCTTCCCTCACCGGCTGCCTCATCGTGTACGGCATGTACGGAGTGCCCAGCCCACCACCGAAAACTCTCAACTTAGTATACGCCATGCTGAACCGCACCGCCTGGAGCATCTGCCTGGCCTGGGTGGTGTTTGCATGCGTCACTGGATACGGAGGCTTTGTTAACACACTTCTCTCCTGGAAGGCATTTATTCCACTCAGCAAGCTAACCTACACTTCCTACCTCGTGTCTATTGACGTTCAGACATACTATTGGTATACAAACAAGGCACCGGTGTATCTAAGCCAAACTTTCTTAGTGTACCAGTTTCTTGCTTCCCTGCCCATCATTTTCGCCGTGGCTGCAATCTTCTCATTGGCCTTCGAGTCGCCAATGATAGCGCTGGAGAAGATAATTTTCCCGCAGCCGTCGAGGGCGGCGCCGGCGGCCCCTGCGCGCCAGGACGCGGCTCAGCCATTGGTCAGTTCTACTAAGCCCGGCCGAAGCGGCGCCGTCAACGCAGGCTTCGAGGCAGACGGCGGCGTTGTGGAAGCAAAGCAAGCCGGGACTGACTCGGCTCCGGAGAACATCACGCCCGCGGAGGAGAAGACGGGGTAGCAGAGAAGTCCCACAAGCCTGATCGCTCACATCCAGTGACGTAAATCACTGATGTGCTGGGGCGATGTGCATACAGGTCGGAGGCATCCCGTGGTTGCATCTTTTGCCTATCTAGGAGTGCCAGCGTGAAAACGAGTGTTTTTCTACAGTGCGTGTGCAACATAGAATACATTTGTTAACAAGGAAGCGCTGTGGTTGAAGAAAGCACGTTGGAAAGAGGCTGGTACGGTAGAAAACAAAGGTAATGATGCATCCAGTAGATCACCCAGTGGCATCCAGTATCCAGTAGATGCAGTAACCGTGGCCAGCATAACTTCATCATTTCTGCCATACAGACTCCAGTTCAAGATCATGTTTCTTGCTTTCGGATTGTCAGGGTCATAAACGCATAGTATGCACATGGACTGTGCGTGACAGCATGCTGCCAATAACTAACGATTGGGGTAACATAGGTGCAGTTTTTAATTACAAGACACGTTTTATATCCGCAGGAATGGCAGGGTCATGAAATAATAGTTCCTCGAGTTTCGTTTGATAACTACAGGATTGCAGCCACGGCATAATTTGCTCGGGTCTTGTCATCATCTGAGCAGGAATAACATTGTCAAGGGGAAAATGCATTTTCAACGCGACGGACAGCGGGGACATCAGCACAAAGGCCAGCGTTTTCCATTTGCTACCGATCACTTTACCTGCACCGTTGCCGCTTAGTACATATATAGCATGTTTTGTAATTGCCTGAGGCTTGGGGAACCATCTCTCATCTGTTGGCAGAAGGTTCCAACTTATTGCGTTAACGTCAACCTTACGGAGTTGAGGCGATGGCGGCCGCCTGCCAAACAGAACAAACGACACGTTAGTCGAAAAATTGGAGCTGGAAGACACGGTATGTTCAGAAAAAGGTTAGGCTGCAAAACAACTTACGCGCTTGAATTGACACTAGCCACATCGTAATTACCCGTTGATTTGGAATAACATTAAAATTCTACCACCCGCACATGTTGTTTAGACCTCAGGCGCCGTAACGCAGTTACAAAAATCGTCACGACACTTAAGGAAATACAACACGATCACTAATAACAATCACGTTAGTTCAAAATTACAATCTGAGATGATATAAAACCAGTCTCTTAGGATACACCTCGTCAAAATTATGGAGCGCAACCTCCCGCAAAAACGCTAAAAATGATCAGCATGCTGGGTGTGGGATGTGTGGAGCTCACAGACCCGGCTCCAGAACAAATTTTACTTAGACAAGGGCAATTTTTAACACCGCATCAAACCTGTGCAACTTTCAACATTTGAGCACCTCAGGAGCATGGACAATTTCCAGACGCTTGCAAAAGGCACGCTAGAGGATCGTGGGCGCCTCTGTGGCAGCAGCACATGTGTTCATGGACTTCCAAAATTTCAAGCCGTCTGAGATTTTCACCAAATGTTCACTGCTGGGCTCAGGTCCCCGTCCTATCTTCAGCGGCCAGGGGGTGACTTATTCAACTGACGTCATCAACTCCTGTCCAATCGGACGACTCTTGCGCATCTCGTGGCGCAACTCCCCAACATTGCGCGCAACCGTGGCTTCACCTACAACGTACTGATGACGTCACGAGGCCACATGACTGAGCGGTTAAATCGCCGGATGACCGTACCTGAGCCAAGTTTTTGATAGCCAATTGAAAGCCCTTTCCTACTTCAGGGTAAGGCCATTACATTACCTTTCACGTCAGAACCCATGCCCAATGCCTACTTGGCCGAGTGGCGAAGTAAGTGCACTTGCTTACAAGTAAGTCGTCAGTGCAGAGTGCCATGATGCGTGGGTTTTAATGCTTCCCCTTTTTACTTCCTTCTATAGATTGTCCGACCTGACAAGGGCTCTCTCTCTCTCTCATTCTCTCTCTCTCTTTCTATCCCTCTCCCTCTCTCTCTCCTCTTTCCATTTATGTGTGCACATCAAAAGCATCGAAAGACCATCATATGAAGTGCGTGGACGGCCGATTTACCCCCCCCCCCCCCCTGAAATATCAAAATCGATGGCACTTTTCTTGACGAGCGGGGTCGCAAATGACAGCTTGTGGCCGAAGTCCCAGAAAAACAAAATTATCAATAACGGCATGGAATCTATCTGACCTTCCATGTCTGTTGGAAAACAGCGCGCTGTCACGTGCGCTTCACATAAATCAATGCCGGAACACACACCGATTAATGTGAAGCGCCAAAATTCTGCCAGTATGTGGTTAATCGCTCCAGATGAAATGGTTAGGACACAACCCGAACGACAAAACGTTCAACCACATGTCCCGAACCCTTTGAACGCTCAAGCTCGGCACGCATCCGGTTCGTTATCGGTCTTGCCGCCACATGGGAGGACCGGAGTGAGTCATCACCGGCCAGGTGGACGAGTTTGCAGCGCGCTTCAAGAGCTGGCACCTGCGCCAGCGTGTAGTGACGCCAGTATGCGAAAACAGTGCTAACCTCTCTAATTTTCTGTGTCCAAGTATGGCCGCGATGGTCGTGACATCGGGGAACAGCTGGCCGGCGTCCTGGAGGGGAACTGAGCAGCGCCGTTGCATTTGCTGGCTTCATTCTTAGCGTCAGTAAGCAGCATCTAGTCGGATTCAATACTGGGCCACAGCAAAGGGCCAGGACAGCGCAGGACGCATTGCCTGCGGAATGGTCCGTGCCGTTTTGCATCGACTGAGCACAGGAGGGCATTCTCCAGCTGAGGAACACTTGAGGACACACTCAGGCTGAGGGACCACTGAGGACATACTCCAGCTGAAAAACACCCTCAGGCCGAGGGACAACTGAGGACCCCTCTCGCTGAGGGACACCTGAGGACACCCTCCGATCGAGTGACACCTGAGGACACCCTCCGACTGAGTGACACCTGACGACACACTCCGACTGAGTGACACCTGAGGACACCCTATGTCTGAGTGACATCTGAGGGCACCCTCCGACTGATGGACACCTGAGGACACCCTATGTCTGAGTGACATCTGAGGGCACCCTCCGACTGATGGACACCTGAGGACACCCCTACTGTCTGAGGGACATCTGAGGGCACCCTCCGACTGAGTGAATCTTGAGGGCAACCTCCGACTGATGGACACCTGAGGACACCCTATGTCTGAGTGACATCTGAGGGCACCCTCCGACTGAGTGACATCTGAGGGCACCCTCCGACTGATGGACACCTGAGGACACCCTATGTCTGAGTGACATCTGAGGGCACCCTCCGACTGATGGACACCTGAGGACACCCTATGTCTGAGTGACATCTGAGGGCACCCTCCGACTGAGTGACACCTGAGGACACCCTATGTCTGAGTGACATCTGAGGGCACCCTCCGACTGAGTGACACCTGAGGGCACCCTATGTCTGAGTGACATCTGAGGGCACCCTCCGACTGAGTGACACCTGAGGGCACCCTATGTCTGAGTGACATCTGAGGGCACACTCCGACTGAGTGACATCTGAGGGCACCCTCCGACTGATGGACACCTGAGGACACCCTATGTCTGAGTGACATCTGAGGGCACCCTCCGACTGAGTGACACCTGAGGACACCCTATGTCTGAGTGACACCTGAGGACACACTCCGACTGAGTGACACCTGAGGACACCCTATGTCTGAGTGACATCTGAGGGCACCCTCCGACTGAGTGACACCTGAGGGCACCCTATGTCTGAGTGACATCTGAGGGCACCCTCCGACTGATGGACACCTGACCCACGGCTGACATTCTCCCGCAGCGTACTGGGGCAGCACACATGCCCACACGGTACCGCGCGAGAGGCTGCAAATAATGCACGCATTACACGTGACATTCGGGACAAGGATGAATGACATACGGAAATGAGTCGCAAATATAAAGGAAAAGAATTCACCATGCATGTTCGACAGGTGCCTATCCGACGAAATAATAATAAAACAGACGGATGCATTAGGTTATGTGAAAGAATTTGGACACGGATAAAGATACGTCTTCGGTTATGTGGGGTGCGTGGGTAAAGTTATCATGAGTTTAATCCATCAATTATCTAGAAATAGCTTGAGCATTACATCCCGGCTCAGACTATCATTGACGTTCTTAACAAGCCGTTTTCATTCAGGAATCCGCGATCGCATATAATTCCCAGTTTTTTCAACATTCTTGACACATACCTCCAAATGCGTTATGGTTTTGCACTGCTTCATACGAACAAATCATCCATCGGTTCAATTATTGGTAGGGTTTTCGCCAATGTTATGTTATTGCAATTGGTTTATTTAGTGATTGCATGTTTTCCCTGCGAGTCGCATCACCTTACTCGTGTCACACCGTGTGAGGAGCCCCGCAAAGCTGTGGACATTGCTAATGGCCATGCTTTCCCGACTAGCAGCCGCGGCTGCGTCAGACCAGTGACGAGCCTGACGGGCTGCTGCGGCAAGCACTGAGCATGTCACTGTTACTGCCACCTGTCATGGATTCGGAGGCATTGCTGTGTCTCGGTGCCTTCCCTAACATATTGCTGGATCCCAGTGCTGGCCAGCGTATCGCTGTGACCCAGTAAAGGATGCCACCGGTTGTCGAGCACCAGCGTTCGTCACCAAACTAACAAGTAACCGTGATGCGGTGACGAACCGGATCAGGTACGGAGTCTCGCCACCTGCTGTAATACCAAACCCATCATGACCTGCAATTGTGCTCTAGCACATAGTCTGGCTCGGTGTCCTGACATCACACGGACCCCAGCCTGGTGCTGTGACCCCACACATCACACGGACCTCAGTCTGGTGCTGTGACACCGCTCATCACACGGACCCAAAACTGGAGCTGTGACCCCGCACCACTTCCTATTTAACGCTGCAATCTGCTACCGAATCCGACCCAGTGTTGAGTCTGACCAGTTACTGCGATCTGCTACAAGCGGCCCGTTGGCGTAATGCGATAAGGCCGCCTTTGACCTCTGGTGGACCAAAGCTGAGTTGAAATAGCATAATAATAGGACGGGGCAGAATAGCTGCTGGAATTCGGGACCAAGCCTGATCAATCGATATGACCGGATAACGGATCTCATCAGCTGCTCTGACCTGACATT